CTGAAAATGCAACATTATTCTGCAGGACGGACACATGACTACCAAAATTGGTGGACACCAAATGAACGCCGAAACCATCGCACCCGTTTGCTCCTGCCGGAGATGTGGTCCAAGATCGCACCTCAGATCCACAGCTCACAGCGCATGGATGTCAATGGCTGTGATGCTCATGCTAATAATGATCCCGATGCATCTCGATTCAGGGGTCCCTTGTGCCGATACGCCCCCTAGACCAACTTCCTCGCTCTACACAACCCACTGATTCTTTCTTCCAGGGAAACCCAAGGTGAAAACTCTTGTGGAGCCCAGTGCTAATCAAGGATTCGCACCAGACTTCGACCAAGAAATGCAGCGATGCAAACATCGGACATGTTCCTCGTGTCACTGCAATGTTTGATCCTTCCAAAAAGCGAAAAATGAGTCTCCTGTCCTGGCGACCAAAGACTGGCGCCGAAGCGATTGGTTGCTTCACTCTTCATCACAGCTGCTGTAAACTTTGCATGCGAATATTGAATCGGGTCTGTTGCAGGTAGAGAAACAGAATGCCCCCAAATGGTGTTCCCTTTTGGGGGGCTTCAAGCCTTGGTATGACTCTCTCCGTTCAATCTGGGTTGACTAATCATGGCTTCCAACCCTGGCTTGCCTGTATGGGAAAAAAGGACATCCCCCACAGCACCCGTCCCTCTTCGCTGAGGCACGTAGTTGGTGAAGCCAAGGCTCATCAGCATAGGTATCCCACCTAGGCGCGAGGTGCCAGGTGTTATGGATCGATTGGATCCTATTGCCAGGTGTTAGGGATCGATAGGATCCTATTGCTTGCGCGCGTCGGTTTCACTATGGAAAAAAAGGGGTCAAAAGCAACTCAGGTTGCGAACAAGCATGAACAGGCATGCTCCAGCTGCTCCCGAAGAAAGCACAGTAGAGAACACGGATTCTTCTGCCTTTTGCACTGCGTGTTCTTATTTGTTATTTACTTGCACTTGCAAACATTGAGGAATGCCATACCCAATCTCAGTCTGGGATCTTTGTTGGGCTTGCATTAATAGCGCTTTCGCTCAGTGAAAGCTACACCTGTGGTCTGCTGTCTTTCACTCATCTCATCTCATCTCATCTCAATTCATCTCCCCTCGTTCATGCTTTCGTTTGTGCCGACATTCCATGTCAGTTCATTCCACCCCATTTCATTCCATTGTGTTTTCCTTTCCCCATTCAATTTCATTCCATGCCGTGCCACTCCTCCGATTGCAAGTTATCAGCCTGTGAGCATGTCCGCTCGTTTATAGATTACATGCTCAATGGCTTCCCATTGGGCAAAACGGACACAAAGTTTGTCGGCAGTTTGTTTGACACGTTTTGTGTCAAACCTATAAGTGACAAACGAAACTAAAACGCAAACGAGGCCGCCAAAGCAAACAAGATCAAGGTGGACCTGGACAACTGGAGTAAGTAGGATTATGGAACGCCAGGGTTAGCTGTCTGTGAATTGGTGTCGACTCACAGGGCAAAGGATCCTTTTTGACAGGGTTGAGCTGAATCATAAACCACCCAAAATAAAATTCATACCCAGCAATACCGGATCAAACTGATTTTGGGCTCGATTTTGCCGCTTCTGTCTCCGGTTGGAACTGTCGTTTTGATGCCTCAACTGTGCAGCCCAGGGTTTGCATGGGGCCTTGCACGTGATTGCAGAATAAGTTTTCTGATGGGAAAAGAACCACTGCCGGCATCACGATAAATGATTCCAGCATAGGCTTCTCGCACTGCGGAATGATGTTCACCTCCGTTTTGCTCTTTGACGCCCGTTTCGGTGTAGCTTTGTGCAGACAATCGCCTCGGTGTCATCGGTTCCCTGGGGACCCCATGCTGGAAACTACTGGCCGACCCCAACCCCTTCCTGAGCTGGCAATACAGCTCGGTTCTTAGGTTCTTATGCTTGCTGCATTGCTTGATAGTGCTGCTTTGCTCAAATCATCTCAACACACAAAGGAAACATGAAGACAGGACACGCACTCCGCCGACAAAGAAAAGCATGACCGAACATGCCAACCGCCTGCGCAGAGGTGTTGCAAGTTAGAAACCTCTCCACAGAGCAAGCAAGCAACACAGCAGCTTTTTTTACACAGCAGAAGGCTTGTCTCCTCCACCCCTGATTAAAAACAGAGAGGTCCTCCAAATAAAGAATCAAGCACCGCAACACCCCTTCCTGAGCCAAATCGGACATTCTTCCCCACTGATTGCCGCGCGGCTCCGGATCGCCAGCCTGCAGCAGCAGCCGGGTGTTTTGGGGCGCCAGAGCTCCAGTGCGCCAGCGACCTGGGAATCTAGCCGGCGGCTATGTCGCAAAAGGGATACCCAGGCCGGCTTCCATGTGGTTACCTCTAAAATGCCAACGACCAACCAAAAAAACACACCCATGTAGGAACCGTGACATTGGGCATGCTCACCAAATCGTGAAATTAGGGCGTTTCTTATCAATGCATACTGACTGTCGTGGCTCGCATGTGCAGGGCCATGGTCAAGGTTCCCTTGATGGGAATCCTTGCGCAGAACGATGCATCACTGTCCGAGAAAATTCGAATTACCTGAGGGTCAAAACAAAGCGGGACCTTTTTTGAAGGCTAGCTTAAGGGAACGAGCATGAAGCCAGCCATGAAAAGGGTCGAACTGGTTTTGATACAGACCCAAACGAGAAGGGAACTAAGCATTGTGTAGGCTTCCTTCTTGAATACCAAGCTTTGCATAAGTTGATCTAACGTGCTGCCCTGTATATCAGTCCCTCCATATCAGTCCAAACGTAGATGGGAAAAAGTTGCTTTTGACTTGTGCTGAAACTCTTGCCTAGTCAGTAAATCTAGTTCTATGCCTCTAGTGGGTGGTTCTCAAACCGGGAATCCCTTTTGGATAGCTTCGAAGAGAAGCGAAAAGGAAGCCGACAACCCAAAGAAACACCTCAATGTGTAGGTTGGGACTTGCTAACATGCTTGCGTCTCCTACAATTGGGTCACATCCATTGCTGACCTTGCCCGCGATGCCGTTTTTCATCGCCAACTTCCCGAGCTGCAGCCGCCGGATTTGGACACAAGTCTGGAAAACGGTTCGGAACGGCTTTCGTAGCCTCCTTTCTGGGCAAATTAGAATGCAGCACCATTCAGAAAATGAATGGAATCTCGATGAGAGGAACATTTGTCATGGGTCAATCATGGTTGACGTTGCAAGCACCTGATGACGTCGCCATAATTTGCCCAGTCTTTTGAACACCCTCTCCGGATCGACGGGTCTCGGTGAGGTCTGAAATTTTCTCAGAGGACTCCCATCCCCCGGCCCCAGTCCGACCCACAAAAAGGATATACGTAAACCACAAACAAAATGATGTCTGCCCGGGCCCGAGCGATGAACTTCTGGGTTTTGCAGCTGACTCTTCAATTACCTTAGGAGGCCCAAGTCCAAGGCTTATGGGCCGGGACACCTCCCGAGCAAGTCAATGAAATTTCAACAACCTTGACATGATTGAATCAGCAGTGCTCGGTGATTGGACGATCTCACCATCGCAGAGTTTGGGGGTTGCAAGCTCACCTGCAGACTGCCAATGAAACAACATCATGGCGGGGCCAACCACCTATTCAAACATGTTCGAGAATCAGTTGTTGTGTTGTTCGTCTTAGTTTTTGGTTAAGATGGGATGGACAGGTTCTCTAAGCACAACTGGAGAAGCGCCTAAACGAGGAGGGCCAAGACATGTAAGCAAACCTGACCAGGGATGGCATCTTTGTCGCTGCCTGGGAGTGTCTCAGCGCTTTTTTGGGGAAGCGGTAAGCGTTCAATGATTGGTAGGGGGAGGGTTGTCTCAACTTGACCAGGTCAGGGGAAGCTCATAGCCGCAGGGGCAACATTTGATGTTTGTGAACTCAAAGCTGGAATCCTACGCCGGAAAATGAATCCCCCGAAACAGTCAATTTACCTCGAACGCACGCTGCGTACCGCGACGTATAGGGAGTTGAATATCCGGGGACGATCGCACCACTTTCTGATTGTCCAGTTGCATTACTGTTAGTTTGACGGCCCGGATGTGAAGCTCCCAACCATTTGAGTCAGGCAGGTTCCGGGAGAAATCCTACGAACAAACAAGCCCTGATGAAGAACTGGTGTTTCCCTTTGCTCGACACCTTTGGCAGGAAACCTTGAAAAGGAATCCATTCCGTTTGACCAGGTGGGTTGTGGCTGTTTTGTTGCAGCACAGTACAACCTGATCCCAAGGTGTTACCAATAGCGGGGACTTGCAGCAATGTTAGTATGGAGTTTTACGTGGTTTTTACTGATCCTATTCGTAAATGCACGCTACGTATATAATATGTTTGTTTCAAACCCAAATGTTCCAACAAAACTAACTTAGAATTAGGCAACGCTAAACCAATTCTAAACTCCCAGATTTCCCGCCGGCCGCCACTTCAGTCGTTTTAGGGGGCTCCCCAAAACAATGTGAATTAAAGTTGTAAAATTAGTGAAATTTAACGAAATTGATGAAATTCAATGAAATTTCAGAAAGAGATTCACTAAATTTCACTAATTTTCACTAAATTGGACTTGCGAAATTTAGTGAAATTTAGTGAACTTTAGTGAATCTCTTTCTAAAATTTCATTGAATTTCAAAATGTCGATGAGTTTCACTAAATTTCACTAAATTTCACTAATTTTCACAAAATTGGACTTGCGAAATTTAGTGAAACAATTCTGAAGCAATTAACTTTCATCTTGTTTTTAAGTTTGAATCGATAAACCCAAAAACGTGCCTTGAACGATTCCACGTCAAGTCCTTACTCGGCAGCTTGCGGTTTTGACGGTTTTCGTGCCCAGCAAAGGGGGGGACCCCTTTTGGGCGAGAAACTAGTACTGTTTCCCCACATGGGAATTTCCTCATTAAGGTTTTTTGTAGGGGACGGATTACACTCTCCCGGAAATAGCCAGCCCACTTCTTCGGGTGATTTCGACTTTGGGCAGTGCTCAAATGAAGTTCCGGAAGGTAAGGGTCACGGGGCCGAAGTTGCCGGTCCTCACAATCGCCCCAGCATGAGATGATTCTTTGCTGGGGAGAAATGTTCATTGGGAGAGGGGTGCAGGTCAAGCAATGCTGGCTCCAGGATCGTTTCACGCACCGGTCGTTGTTGTTACTTCTGGAGCCAGTCATGTATTGATGGGGCGGGTAAACTATTTTCGTGGGGATCCAAATAAGGTAACAAACTGGGATTTCGGCTTCGAAACTCTTCCGGAATGCTCGTGCAAGGAAAGATGTGAAACTGTCGGGGCATGTTTGCCAAAACTAGGGCCCAAGGGGTATGGCAGCACTCTGCCGTTCCCTCCTCAGCATATGCAGCTGCCTGTGCAAACGTTTCAGACTTCCCCTGCAATGGTTCATGCGCCCGTGGCCACTTAGCCAAGGCTATGTGCTTTGTGCGGCAAGGGTTATGCGCACTCCGCCTTGAACAGAAACGCGCGTTTGCAGCCAACCTGCCTTGCAGCCTTGATGCCACAACCTGCCTTGCAGAAAGGAGCTTTCATCCCTCGCTGAGAAATAAGTGGACTTTGGCCCCTGAAAACAACGGAAATATGGTTCGTGCCCTGGATGGCGGGGACTACAAAGGGGGGAGGCCCTTTTGCTTCAAAAAAGTCGAAAAAGAATGGCAAGCATGTGAGCCATGGCAAAACTACAAAGGTTTGGCTTGTTGATACGGCTCAGTCCTACATATTGATGTGGTAGAAGCATGTTAGAACTACGCCAGGAATGTGCTATGATTATGCAACACGTTGGGTACATCGGGGGGGCGTTGCCCGGACTTTCAACACTGCCGGGTGGGGGGAGGGGGGGGGTGGTGCTCACAAACATCCTGCCTGGCAATCGCCTGTCGTAATGAGGGGTGGGGTGGGGTGGGGATGGAGGCACACTTTGTCTGTCGACCCCCCCCGCCCGTGCCTCCTGCTGCTTCATTTTTTCTCAGCTCTTGGCTTCTGCTTCTTTGGCTGGCCCATCTGGAGACAGCCATGACGAGTCAACATACGCCGCCTTTGGCGGAAGCCTGGACTGAACAGTGCCGTGTTCGGGGGGTGGGGTGGGGTGGGGTGGGGCGGGGGGTGGTGGCACGCATCCTGCGTTTTGGTTGTCACCCTGGATCTGTTTCTCAACGAGAACCTGATGACCTGATGGTTGACAGTCCGGAAATTTCTGGGGAATACAGTGTATGAGTATGTCCTGAGAGCGAGCGCAGCGAGGTCTTTTTTTCTATGGCGAGTCTGAACTCTATGGTACAAAACGGAGCCAACATGTATACGCGATACAAACTGATTGGCGGGCCAAGGTTCTTCCGGTCCGGGCAAACCCCCCCGATTTAGCCAACACGTTGTAATACACAAACATTTAAATCAAACAAACAAGTAAGCAGGAACTGGAAAGACATTGGCTGGACATATGCTGCACATGTGCTCGAACGTACAGAACACATGCCAGACATTAAGCTAGAATCTGCTCACTACACATATGTTAGATGCTAGACACAAGCCAGTTTCTGACAAATCCCATGCCCAGATCTTGGAAGTGCCCCCAATCGGGTCTGTACTTCCCCATGAGATCTGTAGCCTTGTGGTGTGTTTTTGGTGGGAAACTCGAGGCGGTATGTTGCGTTGTGGCAACAAAACATGCTACATGCCCATGTGCCTGGATTTTGAAAGTACCCAATGGGGTTTGTACTTTTGTTTGCCTTGACTTCTGGAAAGATCGAATTGTTGCTACATGTAACATTTGTCAGATGCTTGTTTCACATTCCTCACCTCCTCCAAATGCAACACAAACACAAGGCCGAGAGCAAACCCGGGTCCTCACGGTGTTGCCATTCCAAATCTGGAAGGACCAATCCCCACTCAAGAGATCGTTGCTGACGGCCCCTTGCAGGAACTGGGTGAGCGTGCCCCCGGCGGATGCAGTTGAGATTGGCTTGAAGGCGCCTGCTTGGCCGCTGGGTCGCTTCAGCAGAACTAACACCCGGTGGATGTCCCAGAAGAAAACCAACATAGTTCGCCCCCCAGAATAGTGCGAAAATAGCGCGAAAATAAGGGATCCTTGTAGCACGAAGAGGCAAGCGCAGAAATCGCAATGTTGCACCCCCTGCCAGTCCGTGAGGTTTCTAGCAATTGCCAAAATCTTTTAATTCGAATTACAAGACCTGTCCAAGCCTATGGAATGTTGGCCAAACTGAAACCTTTTTCGGGCAAACCTTCCAAAAATAATTAAAGGAAAATCAACAATTAAACATGTCAACAAACACATGCCGAGAACAGTCAACCACTTTGGACGTCAAGGTGTAGGTGGATCAGAAACCCTGGTTGTACCCTACGATAGGTTGGGTAATTGGTAATTCCACTTGGTAGACTATTGACTGTTGTGCAGAGTTAGTAACCTACGTATCAAGAGACCGTTGCAGTACTAGCATGCAAGTACTGAACTAGCAATGGAACCTCTGTCTGAACTGGACACTCGCAACATGGTGGGCGGTGCTGCTCATGCGTTTCTCTTGCTGCACGGGTCCATGTGTCTCTGCTGAAAGAACAAGCAACCCATGCTTCGGTGGCTGCTCGCGAGAAAAGATTGGGCCTCCGCAACAGAGCCCCAAACAAAACAAACTGCAAACCGGTGAGCTAGGTCTGGCTCAGTTGCACTGAGAACTCGCTGGGCACGAGGGGTATGGATAGACCTGATAGATGAAGTATTGCGCATCGTCCCGGAAGGTGAGAGTCACATCGGGCCAACTCATGAGCCAAGCATTGAGGCGGATGTAGGCCGGCCCCGCCAATGCTATCCCTCAAAATCATCAGCATATCTCCTGAATTGCCGGCCTGAGTAAAGAAATTGATCGGGATGCTGACCTCCAGAGTAGTTGGCGTGCCTTCCGCATCAAAGTCCAAACCACCCAAGGGAAAATTAGCAGTGGACGGAACCCACTGACTGGGATTGGGACTGGCGGAAAGGTTTAAGCTGCCACCAGTCGACACTGCAAAAAGAGTAAAATCTGTGGTCGTGGTCGTGGTGGTCGTTGTGGTGGTGGTTGTCGACACTGCAACAAGACTAAACTCCGTGGTCGTGGTCGTGGTGGTGGTGGTGGTCGTGGCGGTGGTGGTTGTAGTGGTGGTGGTCGTGGTAGCGGTTGTAGTGATGGTTGTAGTTGTGGTGGTTGTAGTGGCGGTGGTTGTAGTGGTGGTGGTCGTGGTGGTGGTGGTGGTGGTGGTGGTTGTAGTGGTGGTGGTTGTAGTGGTAGTGGTCGTACTCGTAGTGGTAGTGGTCGCGGCGATGGTTGTAGCGGTGGTTGTTGTTGTGGTTGTTGTAGCGGTGGTTGTCGTGGTGGTGGTTGTGGTGGTGCTGGTGCTTGTAGTGGTAGCGGTGGTGGTTGTAGTGGTGGTTGTAGTGGTGGTGGTCGTGGTTGTAGTGGTGGCGGTTGAAGTGGTTGTAGTGGTGGTTGCAGTGGTGGTTGTAGTAGTGGTAGTCGTAGTGGTTGCGGGTGGTGGTTGCGGTGGTGGTCGTGGCGGTGGTGGTTGTTGTCGTGGCGGTCGTGGTAGTGGTTGCAGTGGTGATTGTAGCTGTGGTGGTTGTTGTGGCGGTTGTAGTGGTCGTGTTTGTAGCGGTGGTGGTCGTGGTGGTGGTGTGGTCGTGGTGGTGGTCGCGGTAGTGGTTGTAGTTGTGGTTGTAGTGGTGGTGGTGGTCGTGGTGGTGGTGGTGGTGGTGGTGGTAGTGGTGGTAGTGGTAGTGGTCGTAGTCGTAGTGGTAGTGGTCGTGGTGGTGGTTGTAGTGGTGGTGGTGGTGGAGGTGGTGGTGGTGGTGGTGGTAGTGGTGGTAGTGGTAGTGGTCGTAGTCGTAGTGGTAGCGGTGGTGGTTGTAGTGGTGGTGGTCGTGGTTGCGGCGGTCGTGGTTGTAGTAGTGGTGGTCGTGGTGGTGGTGGTGGTGGTGGTGGTGGTGGTGGTTGTAGTAGTGGTGGTCGTGTTGGTCGTGGTGGTGGTGGTGCTGGCTGTAGTAGTGGTGGTCGTTGTGGTCGTGGTGGCGGTGGTGGTGGTTGCAGCTATAGTGGTGTCTGGCGCGTAGCGACTAGCGGCCCGACCCCGGCGCCGCCATCGCCGGCTTGGCGATCCGATCCGGGCCTTGCCTCTATGGGGTCAGACGCCCCCTTCATGCGGATTGCTGGCAGCGTCCTCTGCTTCCTGGAATTGTGCATTTGACCCCTCGAGCACGACGGCCAAGAGGATCGTCATGAAGCAGATTCTATACACGGCCATGCCCTTTCCTTCCTGAAAGATACCAAGGCCGAAATAGGTCGAATGAGTTCCCTGCCGCTTGACGGGAGTCTCTTGAGCCTCACCTTTCAAAGCTCCAAAGGCTTCTGTCCGAACCCCAGGGCCCCAGCAACTCCCCTCATGGCGGAAGAGAGGGCATGCCCCCTGATTGGTTGCTGAACTCCCTGAAACGGGTTCCCACTCCAAAAAACATCATCAACTGAACGATGTGCATACAAGCAACAAGCATGTGTATGAATCTATGTGCAGCTCCACCATGCGGCAACAAGCAGCGTCAATAAGAACGTCTTAACTACATTGTAGCTAGTGGACAGTACCTTTTGTCTGTCATTGTTATCAACTGGACAGTAATCAAAACCATGCAGGTTCAATGTTCATGAGCCAACTCAAAAGGGGTCCTCAATTCTTAGACACCCAAACACCTACGTGACACATGTATATATCACATTTGCCTATCTGGAGGTATTTGATGCGGGATACTAGACGAATCATGTGTTGCAATCTGTTTTGGATTGCGTCATATAGCTGCTGGATGCTCAGACAATCAATGGAAACTGGGGAAATTAATACACACATCAAATTGCGCATACCTCAGGAATGTATGTGGCTCTTGCCCTGTTTTGGAAGGAACTCAAGACAAACGGAACCGTGTCTGGCAATGGCACAGACTTTCCAGAATGAGCCTATGAACACCTCTGCATGTGTCTGGAATGCATCTCTACAGCTTCCGCAGTTTCTGTTACGAGCAAGCTGAACCAAGTGCATGCCGCATGGGGCTTACTTGTCCAATCAGCCAAGGGAGCGCGCAAAATCATTGTTTTGTTGTGTGACATGAGGTGTCCAGGTGTAGGATCTCCCTGGTCATTATTTGCTGGGGAGTAGAATGGAACCAAAGGGACTGCATTTTGTACAAGCTTTGTTGCAAATTATGGCCTAACTAACGTTCCGTCATTCTGTCCGTCAATTTGGGAGAAACAAACAAAAAAGGAGGTGGCCACGGCTTCTTGGGTAACTGTTTCAATCCTCAAGGTAACCAGCTCGTCAGGGGAAATTGAAAACTGTGAATCCTTGAACATTATCCCAATAAGGGGTTGAAGTTGGAACGTGTCCCAAGAGACACGCTCCTAACCTTGCTAGGCTGCAGCATTTCTAACCCTAGGAGTGTCCCTGATGTCCCCACAGGGCCCCACATACCCTTTTTCCTACGGTACCGTGGGATTCCCATCGTCCTGACCACGTCACAACCTAAGACTTGAAACGGGGATTCCCTTGGTCTCACAGAAGGTAGCAACTAGGGTGCTTTCCCATATTCTTGGATCTTGGGTCTCCAAGGCGAGGCACCATCGTGCAGATCCAGGCATTCGCCGCCTGCACGAGTCGCACGAGCATCGAAAAGCGCACGGAGGTAAAACGGCTCCGTCCATGGCCCGTTAAACATCATCCCACCAAAATGTAATTCCATGACACTTGGCAACCAAAAGCAGACTCTTAAACCACCGAAAGGCACTGTTCGGCGCGCCTGCGGTTTGGATCTCCTCTACGTATTGCCCCCGGGGCGCCGCGGGCAACTCGGAGCTCATGATCCGGAGCTTGACTACCTGCAAGCCACGCAGGAAACAGCTCGATCCAGCTTTCCTGCGGCTGGGGACAAACGGAAAGAAACAAACCCAACGAGAAGTTGGGGCTTGCTGGTTTTGGCAGGTTTTTCCTCCCTTCGTGGAAAGCAGTTGATGCACCTCGAAATCATGGTCCCGGAACCATGGCATGAAACTTGAACGTACACTCCATGGACCCGCTCCATCCATGAAGAACATCCATCCCAGATGGGATTCCTTATAAGCCGAGGGATGGCACCTCCCAGGAAATCACTTTTCAAATGCCGGAGAGCAAAAAGAATAAGAATCGCAGGCTCAGCGGACATGTGGCATGCCCATTGCCATCCACATTGAGTAAATTTGGGGAATCAGCCTGTGGATACTTCCCTGCGGAATGAAAACAAATTAACAATGGAGTCATAGGAATCCCCTCACCAACCTCCAGTTTCGGTTTGTCTTGATTCCTGAAAACCGAGCAATTACTTACGTTATACTCTTAAGATGAAGGGTTTGACATCACGCGACCATAGGCAGACCTGATTGCTTTTGGCGGACACTCATGTTCAAGCTCAGAATGTGGACTTGGGATTCATTAATACACCTCGCGCGGAGTCATCACGGATTTCATCAAAGTGAAGTGACCTCCGTGAATCCATTAGGGGGTAATCCATCCAAGATCCTGGAACAACATTTGCTGTGGGTCTTGCAAAGTTGTAAAGCCGCTGTCACCGACTTTGGGATAGTTGACTCGCGGCCTTGGGAGGATTGACTGCCCAGTTGACAATCCTCAAACGAGGATACCCATTTGTGTAAGCTTTGTTCTTAAAGGCAGAGCACCCCGAAGAAAAGGAAACAAAGGACACCACTGATGCCAATTGGGATTGGAAACCTTGGGTGGAATGGAGACCCACACCATCGGTCCCCCTTAGCGTGATGCCTAAAGTGGCAAGGAATCAACCAGTTTCGTCTCCCTATTTCTGGAAACTCCATATGGCTGGCTGCGCGGATGGTGTAGACATCTAGAAGCCTCACATGCAGACGCCCGCCCCTCCGCTCGCTTGTTCTTAGTAA